ACTAGATTAAGATAAAGAAAATGAGAGGGGGGAGAAATGTTGCATGCAAAACTGTAGAAATTGTTTTATTTTGTTAGAAAATAACAGTACACATTGTATGAGATACTATTTTCAAATGTTAAGAGAGAGGTTTATGCATGGGCGGTTGCAAATAATACCCAAATGTGATAAGGAGATAATGAATCACACATTCTAATTCATTAATAGGTTGTGGATGGCATTACAATTTTACATCAGGATGGTGTATTTAGGCAGCATTGTCATAGGAATCAAAAATACCTGTGGTGCATCTGTCACATGATACACTGATGGGATATTTGCTGAAAAAAAAGTATTTTCTGTATTATCTGTAATGGAGAACCATTCTTTTTTTGAGGCATACTGTGGTAAAAGTTACATTTTTACATGGAGTTTTGATTTATTTTATTTTATTTTATTTTGGTTTTTTTTCTGGCTAGCTCAGAATGCCTTTAGGACATGTTTGGCTGGCTGCAGTTGTGGGGATCGAACCACAGCAACCTGAGGCTGACTGCTTTCTTGAAGCAGCCACTCAAACAATGGCTAAGGGGCAGTCCCCTGGACTTTTGATATTAAACCTTACTGTGTACCACAAACTTTGTAACACAGTGCTTGTGAACTTCAGTCACCTCAATAATTAGAGATGGGGATCCTGAGACCGCCTGGGGCCCACTGGATCCTCATTCCATCTGGAGCTCTGTCCCAGCATGAATGAGACCGCCCCAGGGCCTGAAGGATCTTCATTCCAGCTAGCACCCAGGCCTGGCTTGTGAGCAGAAGTTCCTCCATCAGACAGGTCCAGTGTGGAATTCTGAGGCAGAACTCCTTGCAGAGAGGCTAGAGGCAAGACCCACCCAGCTGATCCAGGAACACAACATCTTGCCAGTGTGGCAAAGAGGGTTCATCTCCAAGGACTTCAGCAGGAAAAAGTGAAGCACAGCAGACAGACCCAAAGCACACCCACTGGGACGAGTTTGAATTTGGTAGATGAGGACCTGGTGCTAAGGTAACAACTGCACCAAAATTCTACACCAAAGGTCAGAAGACAGTGCTATACAAAATGACAGAGAGAAGGAGTAGAATGCATCTCAGGCCCCAAGCCCTCCCAGAACAAATGCAGGAGACAATAGCATAGAAGAAATTGGAAACCACACGCCTGAAATCCCTGAAAAAATAGCTTCTGAAGTAAAACAATTGCAGAAGGGTATAGAGGAAATCAGATCAGAAATAATTTCTTTTTTTTTTTTTTTCTTTTTTTTCTTTTTTTTTTTTGGCAGAACCAGGGATTGAACTCAGGCCCTTGTGCTTGCCAGGGAAGCACTTATTCCACTGAGCCATCTCCCTGGCCCCGAGAAATAATTTCTAAAGTAAAAAAAGAAATGATAACTGTAATGAAAATAGTACTAAGTGCTTCTAAAGAAGACAATGAAAAAAAATAGAATGTAAAAATGATGGGATCTTCGAATGAGCAATATAGGAAAGGAATAGAATGAATGAGGCATATTCAAAGTGCTATACAGGAAATTAAAACCTGAATCACAGGCTAGCAAAACCTTTTGAATGAAAATGAAAATAAACTTTCACACCTTGAAGACACCACTGCAGCTAGTGAAAAGGAAAGAAAGGATTTCTTAAAAACTAGGATGCAGGAAAAAATAATTCAACATCTGCAAGATGATGCAAAGATAAACAATGTAAGACTAATAAGCATCAATGAGAAGGAATCAATCCAAATGATATTAAAAAAATATGGACAGAAGTAATAGCAGAAAACTTCCCAAATATGGGGAAACAATCTGACATACAGATACCTGAAGCATACAGAACGCCAAATAACATCAACCCAATGAAAACCACACCCAAACGTGTAATAATCAAGATCCCAGGAATTCAGCACAGGAACAGTATACTAAAAGCCGCTAGAGAAAAGAAACAGAAAACCTTTAAAGGAAAACCCATCAGAATGATGGCAGATTTCTCTTCACAAACCATCAAGTCAAGAATGGCATGGAGCAAAGTACTTCAAGTCTTGCAAGAAAACAAATTCCAGCCCAGACTCATAAACCCTGCAAAACTCTCTTTCAGGTTTAATGGAGAAATGAAATATTTCCATGACAAAGAACAACTAAAGAATTTCATGACAAAGCCAACCCTACACAGGCTACTAAAAGATATTCTAGAGAAGGGTCAAAATGACCACAACTCCATGAATGAGAATGGAAAGAACCCAGCAAATACGGCAAACAAACACAGGAGAAAAAGATATACAAAAGCAATCTTTCAGTTAATGTTTTGTATACAGCAGCAGAATATTTCCATCAGCATACTCTATATATGGACTTTTCCTGCACCCTATGGGGCATGATTCTCTCTGTGTCTACAGGGTGGATATGAAGGAAATCGCAGTAGCTCAGTCTCACACGTGACACCTAGTCACCAGTAAGCATTATGGACACTGTCCATGTCCAGGACATAATAGAACTTTGTGCGATATCCTATCCCTAAACTGTTAGAAGTGCTGGTCATATATTTGCCATTCAACTACTTATGTTATGTTTTATTCTTAGTAATTCTGTACTATCATGAAAACTTTTTCTTAGTTTAATAGTTTTGACATACTTAATTTTTAATTAATCTTTAATTTTCTGAATATTGTTTAATCTTGATTTTTGTTTTAAGATTTATACTGTATCTTTGACTTACACCTACTTATAAAACATCATCTGAAATTTTCTCCCTAATATTAGATAGTTTAACAAGTATATTTTCATTTTCCATTGACTTTATATTATTTCTTCCTTGTCTTTCGCCCCCGACACGTATATAAAAAATATGTATATAACCCAACATAAGATTGATACTGCTTTGTAGAAATCTTCAGTGACATTTTAAATGGGTCCATGTAATATATTTTACATAGTCCTGCATAACCATCATTTTGAGAGCTGTTTATTTTTAGCCAGGACCATACAGCAACTTCTCTTGCCTTGAGGATTATACTCTTTGTTATTGCCTGTATGCTACATGTGGAGGTATTAGAATTTTTCAAGTTTGTAACTGGAAAATATTTTACTTTTAGTTTTCAAAGGCATGTTTGATAAGTATAAAATTCAATAAAGATACATTTTTTTTTTCTTTCAGTCCTTTGAATTAATTAGTCTAGTTTTTTATACACTTGCTCTTTTTTTCTAATAGGGAGTAGGATGCTATTTAATTTTGTTCTCCAATAGTTATTTTTTAATGTACATACTTTAATGATTTTTTGCTTTAAAATTAGTTTTGGACTATTTCATTTTTATGTATTTTGGTTTGATTTTATTAAAATTTCTTGTGAAAAAGGTTCATTTTTTTTGAAATGTGGTACTATAATTTCACCTAAATTCAGAAATTTTATATCTTTAAGTATTTATTGCCTACCCCTTTCTACTTTGAGAATTCTAGTTATATGAATATAAGTTTCTTGATTTTGGCACAGAGTGAACTATTATATGACTGATCTGTAAATTCTTCATTTTTATTTTGGACAATTTTTATTGTTATATTCATTTAAGTTTGTAAATTATTTACAATGCACAATCTGTTATTAATCTCATGTATTCATTTCAGAAATATTTCTCTAAATTTCACTACTTCTTATATCTTCAACATTTTAATATTTGTCTAAAATTTTTAATATGCTATATAATTATTGATTTTCAATAAGTTAATGAGAAAAAATTAGAAATGGTGTTTGTATTTTCAGTATTCTAAAGGATAATTGTATTTGCATAGTAACTGAAATTGTACCATGAAAGGTAATTCAGTAAGCCAGAATTAATGTCTTTTCATTGTCGTGTTTGAATTTTAATGAAATACTCCACTCAATAAGAAATTTTCAGGGAAGGGAATAAGGCTCGGTGGCAGAAGTGACTGCCTAGAAAGTGCAACATTCTGAATTTGGTTCCGTATACCAAAAAAAGAGAACAAAAACATAACACCAGAAATTTTTACTGGGGATGAGGCTGTTAAAAGAGCTTAATATTACTTTGAAGGTTAAAAGCTCTTGGTAATAACAGTGTCATCCTTCTTACCTTCTTTATTTAGTATTTATTTTTTCTTGTATTTTATGGGTCTTACAGGGTGTTCAGGGTCTCACTACTAGATCAGACTCTGTTTACAGTCTCCCAAGTGCTGGGATTAGGAGCATGTACCACCACGCCCAGTCTCAATCACTGTCTCATTGTGCCCCGGGGATGGGGCCAGCACTGCAGGCACCTTTGCCTGCTTGCAGGCGCTTTAATCCACTGAGCTATTTGGCTGGCCTTCTGTGCTTAGTGTTTGATGTAAAAAAAACTAGCTGTTCATTTAGCGTGTGTTAAGGTATGTAGTGATTGACACTGTTGGGAGAGAATGATCCGTGGTTCTGTCATGTGTCCGCATTAACAGTTTTTCAAGTTTATTTTTATTTGGAATCCTTATAAGATAAACATAGTTGGGCATGAGTGGTACAGGCCTGTGATCCCAGCATTGAAGAGGCTGTGGCAGGAGGACTTCCGTGAGTTTTAGGTTAGTCTCAGCTACCTAAGTTAGTTCAAGGCCAGCCTAGACTGTATATGAGACTGTCTTATTTAAAAAAAAAAAAACCAAAAAGCAAAGGTGATGTCTCTTTTCTGATCGGAGGGCAGAGCAGGTTTATTTCTTGTCTAGAAAATAAAAGATTTTTTTTTTTCTTTTACCTCCAGGACAGAGTTCGGATATGTTTGCTAGTTGCCCCTTTGAGAGATTGGAATTTCTTGAGGCCATTAGATTCCTCAGCTATGACAAAACCTCATTGCTATTCCACACCACACCTTGGGCTGTGAGGGACAAGTGGTTCAGGCTGACTACTGTAAGGCTGTTAGGCTAAACTACATCCTCAGCGTAGTTCTGGTGATATGCAAACTATATCCAAACTAAAGAATTTTAACTCTGTGTAAATTGTAAATTTCTGTTATTAATTGCAGAATCTTTTGGCTGAAAAAGTAGAACAGCTGATGGAATGGAGTTCCAGGCGCTCAATCTTCCGAATGAATGGTGATAAATTCCGAAAATTTATAAAGGCACCACCTCGGAACTATTCCATGATTGTTATGTTCACTGCTCTTCAGCCTCAGCGGCAGTGTTCTGTTTGCAGGTAATTTGCTTATGTAAAATTCTCTAGAAAAAACAAAACTATCGTAGGTTTGTATGTTTCATATATATATATATATGTAGTTATAT